TGAAGTCACGGAGGCTACTGATGGAAAATGGGAAGTGCTGATTGGTAAGTAGACAGCCAATGGATAGGCTGATTCTTCACATGTGCCTTGTTTTTTTATGGGTTCCTGTGGTAATCCTCCTCTTCCCAACAGGGTCATCCCACATCCTGACCCCCAAGCAGTTCCTGGAAGATGTACGCAACCTGACTGAGCAGACACCGCTGAAGACTTAAAATTTCTAGCCCCTAAGAGACTTGCTGGCAGCTGTTCTATTAGCTACCTTTTTCTTCAGCAAGATGGCTTCTTCCTCATCAGTGCCTTTGTTTGAACACTTCTGAGGCTGGCCCTATCTTGATCCAACCTTTAGCCAGCTATCATGATTGAATTGACACTGGAAGGACCTCACCCGGGGCCTAGAATGACGATAAGGGTCTATCTTCATCTCTTATTATGTTGTGGTTTCTGGACACACTTTATTTTTCTGCCCTCCCACAAATAAGGGAAGAAGGAAGGGCTATGTAGTTCATGAATAAGTCTCTCCTACTCTTGCCTAGAAGTTATTTGTTCCCTTACATGATGACTTGCCAAGAAATTAATTCTTTTGACTTGACCTTACACAAATTTGATGGCTTTCATCAGAGCCTATTTCTTTCCTTTCTTTTTTCTCCCAGCAAAGGAAATCGATCAACAAAAGTGATTGCTTGTTCCTCCTTTATGAAAATATTCTGGAACAAACTCTCATTTCTGGATTCCCACATTTAGAAGCTTGGCTTTAACACTTAGCTTGAAAGGATGATTGATTGCTGCTTTTAAAAAGTGGGAAAGATGATTTTGCTGAAGAAGTCATGTGCTGTCTTCGTTAAAAAGATTGCACAGCTCAGCCGAGGAATCTCAGTCTTTAAAATAAATATGAAATTCAAGATTGTTGGCATTCTCTCTTCTGTAGAGGAGAAGTCAAGCTGTGATAGAGAAGAAAAAGATTTTTGCTTCCCATATAAAGAATTGGGTATGTCAGCCTTTATCTTGGAAAGTTACTGTGCCAGTTGAAGACATTATTTATGAGTGTCTTTATTTTGGCCTTGTTCCACAACATACTACAAGGGGCTTCCTGATAACAGCATGGAAACAGTAGCCGGTCAAAAATGTTGCAGCAAGACTGTTCACCATGATGCAGTGACATGTAGGCTACTGCTTTACACTCCACAAGTGTCTTTGCTTGTATTTCTGGCCTTAGTTTAAAATATTGAAATTAAACATTTAACCAGAGCTCCAAATTGTCTTCAGAATACCTTCAGATATTTAACGTATTTATTATTAAAAGATGTTACAGTATTTTAAGTTTAGTAAATTTCAATAAATGTATACCGATTATTTATGCATTTCTGTAAAAGATATTAGGGATATTTTCAGATGGTCCAGCTCAGACATCTTCCCAAAAGGTGAGATGGAGACCATGATGACACTCATCCTACAGAGACTTATCTGGCATAAATGATCACCTTGGAGCCAGAATAAGTTGCCTGTGAAAATAAACAAGGCTTCATCTTTGTTTTTGTTTTTTAAATCTACATTTGAACTGTTTAGCTTTTTCTGTGACACAAGATTTATTCAGGCTTTCTTGTGTATTTGTTTCTTAATGTTTAGAGGGAGTATGTTATTCTATCTGATGTTGTATACGTATAAGCTGCATTCACTGAACTGTCCAGATAAAATGTAGCTATTGGTTGTAACAGAGACAAATAAAAATAGAGAAAGATAA